CCCAGAAGACAATGATACATCAATGTGTCAGACTTCATGCTTTTTGTGTACTAGATACTGTCAAAAAAAAAAAAAGACAATGAAAGAGCAAGGAAGACAAAATTGTCTGATCAGCAGCATGGTCTGAACACACAGCGTCAGAGCAGCTCGGCCTCTAAACTGGAGCAGAGGAACCAGATACTAATAAAAGCAGAATCTCAATTATCTCCCATCGAGGTCCATAAAGAGAACATGTGCTAATTTTTAACAGGGTCACATTTTCTCGTTGGAACAGTGTGTTAAGATGTTACAACCCAATTTATGGGTACAGTCACACCAGAATTATAAGATCTCAATCCTGCTGGCATGGTTTTTAAATTGTTAATGTAATTGGTATAATGTGACTCTCTATAAAGATAATTGTTGTTGCTCAATAAGCTATACTTTCTCAAATGTCAGATTTTGACTCATAAAGAGGGATTTTTACCCCACCCTCAGCCACACCTATACCTCAACATGCTCAGTGCTGAAATACCATCATTCTCATCCGTGAGTCACTGATGACACAAACGAGGTCATTCCCACAAATCAGCTCAATCCAATTATATAATACAATATGCAATTACACAAACTTAGTATGATTAATGGAAAAAACCCCTGCATTTTACATGATTATGCACAAGAGGCGTTGTTTGTTGTGACAGTTATAGATACATTTGATAAACTATTACTTAACCTAGTTTGATTTAAACAGAGAACGTGAGCCCTGCCTTTAAAATGGTGATTTTGACCTGTCACACCTTAAAGGTCCTGACCTTCTCAGAATTATGTCACAGTAGTCTTGAGAATTTATATTCAATTCATTCTTATAAAAATCGATTTTTAATTACAAACTAATTCGAACTATTATGTTTTAAGAGTTTCAGGCCATATTTTGTACCCTATTTGTGCAAGTCTACCCAGGCAATCATTTCCAGTGAGTGATCTGCTGTATTTTGCATTGTCTTGTTCATTGTAATAGTCTCTCTATCAGAACGCTTTATTGGAGGGTGTGTCTGCAGTCCTGACTCGTCTCAACCTGCAGGGCAACTTCCCGTTCGTCCACATGTTATACTTTCTCCTGCGAGAGTGGGACAGATAGGGATTGGGGAGTTCAGGGCGGAAGCAATTACAACAAACTGATTAGAAAAATTATCTTTGCAAACTAAAGCAAAAATCGAAATAAATTATTGTGATCGAACAACATTCCTTTTAAGTATTTTTTTTCTTTCTCTTCATAACTCATAATAAAACATTCAGATCATTACTATTATTATTACGATTACTATTACCAGATTATTACCCCTTTAAAATAATCACATTTTGTTGCTTTGCAGCCTGAAATGAAGACGGACACAGTTTTTGTTTTTACTCAGTGCAACTTATAATATCCAAGTAAAAGATATAACACCAACATGTTATAAAAGGATCACCCCGCTCCTAAAAATGACTTGTAAACTCAATCAGGTGTAGCTAATCACCTTCTCAGTGGCACACAAAGCCATTTGACTTTCAGCTGATCAGCTGTGCTCATTTTGATCAGCTCAGCATGAAAAGAGCTTTCTTGGAGCATTTCAGTTCTTGCTAATGTAACTGAAGCAAGCAATCAACTACGGGTGGCAAGGCACTGTCAAAAGATCTCCAGGATAAAGTTGTGGACAGGCACAAGTCAGGAGATGGATACAAAAACATTTCAAAGGCTTTGCCAATGCCTAGAAGCACAGTGAAGTCTATTATTAAGAAGTGGATGAAAGAGCCGGAGGAAACTGGTCAGAGAGGTGACCAAGAGGCCTACAGCAACTCTGAAGCAGCTGCAGGAATTTATGACAAAGAGTGGTCATTGTGTGCATGTGACAACAATATCACAAATTCTCCACCAATGTGGCTTGTATGGGAGGGTCACAAGAAAAAAGCCACTCCTCAAGAAAGGCCACATGCAGTCATGACTGAGCTTTGCCAGAGACTAAAATTGAATTATTTGGCCTCAACACCAAACGATGTCTGGCGAAATGTCCAACAGACAATATGTGTTGAAATTCTTCCAATTGACAACTTTCTGGCAGAAGAAGGTTTACCTTCCAACATGACAATGACCCAAAGCACACAGTGGTTGAAGGAGAAAGAGATGAATGTCCTTGCATGGTCCAGTCAGAGCCCAGACTTAAACCCCACTGAAAATCTGTGGAATGACCTGAAGACTGCAGTCCACCAACGCTCACAGAACTTGAGCAGTTCTGCAAAGAAGAGTGGGCAAATAATGTCTAGATGTGCAAAGTTAGAGTTTGTCTCTTAGTAGAGACAAATCCTAACAGACTAAAAGGCTGTAGTTAAAGCAAAAGGTGGTTCAACAAAATACTGACACAAGGGGGTGATCCTTTTTCCAACTCAGTGATTCTGTTTTTTAATTTTTTTTTCTGATATGTTAGTGTTATATCTTTCACTTGGATGTTATAAGTTGCACTGATTAAATACTACGGTGGCCGAGAGAGCTCAACGCGCTGCAACTTAAGAAAACACATGCAAATTGAAAAAACACCAGCAAATTAAGAAAACATCTTCACCAGTTTGACAACACACGCTGCAACTCCTCACAACACATGCAAATGAAGAAACGCGCTGCAAATAGCACGGACCACAACGGAAATGTTTCAAGGGGACCCAAAAAAGTGACGGACCCGGAATACAGACAATATACTTTGCAGGTCAGCACCATTATTTATTATTATTATTATTGTTTTTTTTTATACACTATGTGAAAATGTTAAAGGAGGAGCATATATTAATCGTTTTAATTGCTTTACTATTTTTAGATTTTGACATCACATCTACAAACATTTTAATCTCTTTTCCAAGCACCATAAAAAGAGGTTTGCCTTTTGTAAACTTGCATTTATGAATGTGAAATTTACATAAAAATAAAATAAAATGTATTATAAAACCAACATCCTTTAAAGATATGTTCCCTGATTAGTTCATAATTTGTTTCCAGCTGTGTTTTGTTTATTATCTTCATTTGTTCCAGTATTTAAAGTGTAGTCTGCCGTCTTCCTTTGTCCGGTATTGTTTATGTCAGCCACCTCTGCTACGTGTTTTTTCCTGGTTCCCTTGATGTTATTAAAGTCTCCTTGTTGATGTACTCTCCTCGTTCCTCGCTCCCTCACAGTAGCGATCGTGACAGAATACCGGACCTGAACATAAAGTGACGCCTTTTCTCCCCGAGTTTTTTTTTCGGTTTTTGAAAGTCTTTTGTTTTCTTGTGTTTTCCACCCGTGATCATGGAAATCGCTGCTAGATTAATTTTCCTAGCCCGTAGAGATCTCCCATTTGTCGAGTATGCCAGGGAGTTCTGCAGGCTCGCCACGGCGACGGCTTTAAATGACGCCACCATCAACTCTTTGTTCTGGCACAGGGCCAATTACCATCGTCCCATGGACCTCCCAGACACCATGGGACTAAGCTCGAGGGAAGGGATCCTCCGGTGTCTGGAGAGTGTCCGGCCCCGAGCCAGAACCAGCCCGTTGTCAAGCCCACTGGCCGTGCCATTTACCCCTAGCCAAAGGAGGAGACCAGCCCGCCGGCAGCGGCATTCCCAAGTCCGCCGGCCGTTCCTCAGTCAAGCCCGCTGGCCGCTCCGATGTCCTCTAACCAAAGGAGGAGGATGAGGAGAAAAAGACTGTTCTCCACCTTCATCCTAGCCCCAGAGCTCGCTCCAGTGTCGATTCCAGTCCCCGAGTTTAGCCCAGTGATGGCTCCAATCCCCGAGTTTAGCCCAGAGAGGGCTCCAGTCCCCATGTCCAGCCCAAGGAGGGCTCCAGTTCTCACGTCCAGCCCAAGGAGGGATCCAGTCCCCGAGTTAAGCCCAGGGAGGGCCACAGTTCCTGAGTTAAGCCTACGGAGGCCTCTGAAACCGTCATTCTCCCCAAGGATTTTGGGGGGGGGGCAGTAGGGGTCCATCCGTGGAGGCCGGGCCGAGTGCCGAGGTCAGGCTCCCTGAGCTCCCTGTTCCGCCATGGCACCCTGGACTGCCTGATCCGCCCTGGAGGTATTCCCCATGTCCCAGTCCTGCACCAGCCTCCAGGGTGCCCCCCCGGTGGAATTGTTACGGCGCAGGACGCGCCTTCTGGGAGGGGAGGGGGGGGAGGGGTAATGTCAGGGTTATGGACCTGTTTTGTGTTTCGTTGTTCCATGTACTCCATGTCCTGGTTTCCTTATGCCCTTATTTGGTCCTTCCTGTTCCCATTATGTTCCCTGATTAGTTCATAATTTGTTTCCAGCTGTGTTTTTTTATCTTCATTTGCTCCAGTATTTAAAGTGTAGTCTGCCCTGTCTTCCTTTGTCCGGTATTGTTTGTCAGCCTCCTCTGCTACGTGTGTTTTCCTGGTTCCCTTGATGTTATTAAAGTCTCCTTGTTGATGTACTCGACGTCTCCGCGCTCTCTCACAGTAGCGATCATGACTATATATATATATATTATTGCATTGGACTAAAACCTACTGACTTTGCTCATGCAGGGTACAACAACTTTCCAGAAAACAAACTTTTAACTGATCATTTTTGTATTGTTTTGGGCATTTCCCCCACCTTACACACTTGTGGTGTTTCATTCAAAAATGACCAGTCTACAAAAACCTGCTTATAAATTTCTGCTCCTAAAAATTTTTCCACAAAATAAAACAACAAAAACTTAAGTGCACAAGTAAGCTCGGCCTACAATCAATCAATCAATCAATCAAAGAAAACAAGCTGACAAAATACTGAATCCAAGATTTGGTTATAATATAGCATATTGAGAGATTAACTAGCAATTTTTAAAAGGACGGTCATTTTTTGACAAGGAACACCAAAATAGGCGGATAATTTTCAGCACAGCACAAGAGTTAAACTTATTTTATTTCAGTTATTTGCCAAGGCAACATTTCTAATTTTTAGAAGTTTACATTTTTCATCTAATATTTATATTTTATTTCAGCTTTCTTTCAATTAACAAAAATAATTTTTAATAGTTTTAGTTAACAATAACAAGATAGCAAAGGACAATCATTGTGCAAATCTGCATGTATTGAGCTAATGTAAAACCAGTTTAAAACATCAGTTCACTGGGCCAGAACTCCAGACATATACTAGGTCAAACAGGCAGAGTCCGATTCTGTTTGCTTCTGCTGTGATTAATGACCTGCTGTGTTGTTGCCACGGTAATGATGCATAATAACTGCCCTAGAAACACTGTTCCTGGTTGCCACTGTCAATTATTTTTCCATTCACACATTGAAACTATATATTCAGATCAAGTTTTTGGACATAGGTTTCTTACCTACTGTGTTGAAGACATGCCTCACAATGACTTAAAAGTTAAATTTTATTAAAGAGATATATTACATTGGTGTGGAAACCAGGTGGCTTGAGCAGGAATATCAAACATTGAGGCAATATTGTTTGAAATAATTCCGAAGAGAAATAACTTCTGCAGCAACATTAAATTAAGAATACAGTAACCTCGGGCACATCCAGTGATTTTACAGAAACACATCAGATTCCAGTTTCAGTGTACAGAACCAGCTTGTTTTGGACAAAAAGAGATTGATCGGTGGAAAGCAAAATTAGTAAATGAGGAGGAAAAAAAATAAAAAAATAAAAATTAACGTTTTTGCCCAGGCTAAAAGTAGTGGGAAACTGCTAAAAAAATTAAAAAATGTCCGTAACTACCACATTTATGTTACTGATGATCAATTGACGAAATTGACAATCACTGGTAGTGTTCTAATTTCTCTCAGTCTATTAAATTACACAAGTAAGATGAGAAAAGAAAGCATGTGAGTGCAGGTTGATCTGATCGTAGCCAAGGCAAGTGCTCTGAAACAGTGTTGAGAGAGGGAAGCTAAACGTCATCAGTCTTTGATCCACAGGATTCATGTCTGCAGTGAAGGGGAAGATGCATGTATAAAACTCGGGTAAGAGCGCTGATCGTGTCCTACTGAATAAAATTTGTGATCAGGACTCTTATTGTGACGTTTTACACAATCAACCTCTGTTGTCTGGGCCGTTCATGCCTCCACGCCCTCCAGCTCTGGGGGAAGAGGGCTCTTGGGGTGCTTGCTCTCAAAATGCTGCTTGAAGGTCTTGGGATCTGGCATTTGTGACTGCAAAACAGAGAGGTTTCATGGTTTAGTTGACCGCGTTACGGCTCAAGGAATTCAGCTCTGGCTTCATTCTGGTATGAAACAAACACTTTGCATGAACCGGGGTGACCAAAATCACATTAACTGTATTATTAAGACACAGTTTCTGCGTCTCTTGATTAATTAACCATGATTAAGCAGAATATTGTTATTTTATCCTGTAAACATTTCTGTTCAATTGACGTATTCGCTATCTTGCATTGGTAATGCTGTCATGCTTGGGGTTGCCAGATGACAAGAGCTTAAATCCACCAATCAGAGCTTTTCACTTCAATGGACACAATTAAACTAACATACACACACACACAGTAAAACTTTAGTTTAAGGACCAATTCTCACTAATAACTAGTTGCTTATTAGCATGCATATTACTAGCATATTGGCTGTTAGTACTTACAAAGCACATATTAATGCTTTATTCTGCATGAGCATATTTTAGATCCCTTAATCCACCCCACACCTAAACCTAACAACTACCTTACTAACTATTAATAAGCAGAAAATTAAGAGTTTACTGATGCAAAAGTCATAGTTAATAGTGAGAACTGGTCCCCAAGCTATATGTGTGTGTTTTATGCAATTCAGAACACATATTGTTTCCAAACAACTAAACATTTATAAAACAGAAAAATAACAGTCTTTTAAAATTTATTATGAAACAAATTACATTTAAGATGTAATGCAGCTGTACAGAGGACAATAGTGTCATTATTCAGCTCAATTCTGTTCACCAACAGTGTCAATGTTGCAAAATTCATAAATTATGAAACAAGTTCAATTCAGCTACAAGCAACTCTACAGAAGGCAATAGTGTCATTATTTAGTCCAAGTCAGTTCACTGTTAATTCAGTTTAATAACCATGTCCATGTTGCCAAGTTAGTGTCATTATTCAACTCAGTTCAGTTGAAATTTTGTTCTCATCCAACAGTGTCAGTGCAGTTACACTGGTAATATTAGTGGATATTAACTGCCTATTAAACCCTAAACTGAGAAAGCTGACAGAAGTGGAAAAAACTTTCCAGTTTAGCCATCTCCACTGAGATATTCTGCTCAAATGAAAGTGTAATACAGCCAATCTGTCTTCCTTCACGGGGTCTTTTGTCGTTTTAATAGAAAATTGTTACCATAATTTGGAATCATTGCAATTAATTTAAGAAATGTCACTGTTTTAGCTTTTGAGAGAAGCTTAAAGGGATAGTTCACCCAAAAATGAAAATGTGATGTTTATCTGCTTACCCCCAGGGCATCCAAGATGT